AGTAAACTTGTGTCAAATCTGTATGCTTACTATAGAGTCCAGTGAGCGTGTTGAACCAACTATGTCACTTCCGGTTTTAATAAAAATTAATTTCTCGCTTACAAAAACTTTGCTTGTGTTACAGAGGAGGCTATTTATCAATATATATTTAAGATTTATGGAAACCTTGTTGAAAATCGTTGGTTTTCCCCTTTAATGAGTTGTTATTATAAATGTTTCATTACCGAAAAAAGCTAAAATATTCGACAACTCTTGTTGCTTGTTGACTGCCGGACAATTTAGCTGCTGTCGGCGTATGTTTCGTTGCCTGGCAATGTATCTTTAGAACCTTGTGAACCCTCAAACGACGAAAATTATAATATCATCTGTATGAAATTCTCTATTAAATGCCCCAAATTACCTACAAAAGAATAAATATGCGACAACCCTTGTCCATCTCCCGGACAATTTAGCTGCTGTGGACGTTTGTTTTGTTGCCAGGCAACCTATCTTTTTTGTTACCATTATAGTTTCCTGTCGGCACCGGAAGTGACATTTTTTCCAAAAACTACAATTTTGACAGTTCGGTACCACTTATTGAAAACAAATATTATAACTGAAAGTGTGCACCCTTTAAAGGCGCACAAAATGTCGGGCTCAGTTTTTATACACATGGACGTCCACCCACAACTGTTTGTGAACACTCTACAGGTCACAATTCTTATCCGATTTCAACGAAACTTGAAATATAGGTTTATCTCCCCAAGATCTCGGTTCCTTTCGATATTGGCATGTATCGGACCGTAACTTTATGGATTATGGCCCCTGATTGTACGAAAAATAGCGTTTTTAGCTTGTGAACACTGTAGAGGTCACAATTTTTTATCCGATTTGGTTTAAACTTGGAATGTATGTTTATAACTAACAAATCTCGGTCCCTTTCGATATTCGCGCATAACGGACCATAACTTCCTGAATTATGCCCCCTGATTGTACGAAAAATTGCGTTTTTAGCTTGTGGACCCCATAGAGGTCACAATTTTTATCCGATTTAAAAAAACGTGTGAATATATCACAGTTACACCCTATGGATGGTTGAGCTCGAATTTCGTAAAAATCAGACCAAAATTGCGAGACAAAATGGCTGCCCCTCGTACGCAAATAGTGTAAACATCTAGTAAATCAAGGTTGTGGACCCTCTAGCTTGTTCTCTATCCATCTGTTGCAAAATGTGGGCGTATCCTGCCTGGCAGCCGCTGGTTTTAATTTTGATTTCATTTTCGGGCTATTTTGATTAAAAGGTGAAAAAGAGTGTAAAATTAAGCTATTTACAACCAATCCAGCGTTTTCATACTTTAAAATATTTCTTTGTAATTTTCATAAACTCGTAGCAAAAATCTATACGAAGAAAATGTATATGAAAATTAATTTGTAATATGCGCAGTTGCCGAAAAATGGGCAATTTTACATACGTCATTTTTCACGTTATTTACCCTGTAAAAAAATCATTTATCATTTGATTTCCATTTTTTTTTACCATTTGATGCCTAATGCCAATTTTGACGAGGTCAAACCATTTTAACATTTACAGTGTCACCGGCAATGACCTCATTTGGGCAAAAACTGTATTTTTAGCCTTCAAAATAGATATTTTATTCAAATGAGTTTTATTTGTAATGTGTTTAAAATTATGATATTTAATTCCAAGCAACAAATAGAATGAACCCATACGATCATACAGATACCACAAAATGGTTTCTAACTTGTGCGGTTGCAGAAAAATAGACTTTCTACAAGTCACTTTTCAGGGGTTTTGGTCTATAAAAGTGGCAATTATTTTTCGATTTTCATAAAATTTTCACACTGTCATGCCTTATGCCATTTATGATTGATTTCATAGAACTAATTTAACATTTTCATTATCCCTGGAAGTAATGTCATTTTTGCAAAACTTTATGTTTAGCCTCGAAAACAAAACATTTTTTTGAAGTGACTTATTTTTATTATTCGTTTAACATTATGATATTTGACTCCAATGGACTTATAGTTTGAATCAGTACGATCATATAGATGTCCAAAAATAGCTTGTCGAGAAATAACCAATTTTGTCAGGATAACTTTTTAAGATTTTTTAATTTCCCATTAGAAAGTCAGCTAACTTAGTGGTAAGTTGATAACAAATTTTGTCAGGATCACTTTTTTATACGCCCACATTGAAATGTGTTCGTATATTGTCGTCGCCCCCGTCCGTCCGTCCGTCCGTCCGTCCGTCCGTCCGGCCGTCCGTCCGGCGGTCCGGCGTCCACAATTGCTTGTGGACGCTCTAGAGGCCAAAGTTAATATCTGATTGACTTTAAATTTATACACTGTGTTTAAGGTCTTGAGACGAAGCCTACTGATTTTCAGCCATTTTCGATAATTATTGCCAGAGTTATGGCCCTTGATCACTTTGAAAAATCTTGTGGACGCCTTAGAGGCCAAAGTTAATATCTGATTGGCCTAAAATTTATACACAGTGTTTCAGGTCATGAGACGAATAAGCCTATTGATTTTCAACGATTTCCGATAATTACTGCCAGAGTTATGGCCCTTGATCTCTTCAACAAATCTTATGGACGCTCTAGAGGCTAAAGTTAATATCCGATTGACTTTAAATTTATACACAGTGTTTAAAGTCATGAGACAAAGAATCCTATGGATTTTCAACGATTTCCGATAATTACTGCCAAAGTTATGGCCCTTGATCACTTTGTGAGGCTCTAAAGGCTAAAGTTATCATCCGATTGACTTCAGACTGATACACAGAGTTTAAGATCTTGAACAGCTAAATCCATGAAATTAAAAGTTTTGTATACAAAACGTTAGCATGGGGCAGAACTTTATAAAAACAAACAAATTCTAATGGTTTTCTGATAATTACTTCATGAGTTGTTGCTCTTAATCAGATTTTAGTGTATTATAAATGTTTCATTACCGAAAAAAGTAAAAATATGCGACAACTCTTGTTGACTGATCGGACGATTTAGCTGTTGTGGGCGTATGTTTCGTTGCCTGGCAACCTATTTTTAACATATGGTAACACATGGTAACAAATGTATGAATTCAATTGATATTGCTGGGTTTGATTGATTCTGCGTCCATTTTATAACACGTCTGCAATGCTTATGTGGAAATCTGTTTATCGGTTCCATCGGTACCGGAAGCACCGAAAGTGACATAAGTTCAAGGGTAACGTGGCACCAGTGAAACCCGTCATAACTGCTTCGCAGTTCTAGTTTAAATTCTTTCTGATAACTAATAACAAATTTATTAACTATGAAATAAACAGTGGTCCTCAAAATAGTTAATGATAATAAACTAAAGAAGATGTCAACAATTTTTCATCATTGCATACCGTGCTGGTATGAAGCGTCGCTTATCGTGAAATAGTTCCGAATCTTACTACTTCGCGACATTTTTTTCCTTTGTTTATCTAGTTCACTGCTAGTATTGTGTGCCTCTATCATATGAGTAGAACTTTTGGAAAAGGTGGAAAAATATCACATGGTTTGCACGCGATTGGAATGAAGGATGAAAGGGTGGATATTCCTTTGATGTCACGTGATTCCGGCTTCTAGATGGCGATAAAAATTTAGAAATAATTTAGTGATTTGTTGACAAAATGTCAGGCACTAATGAAATAGTACCTAACATTTTCAACTTAGTGTCGGACATGTATTAATAATATCAATAAAAAGACAAATCAGTAATGGACAAAGTGACAGGCACCAGAGGTTTAGTGCCTGACAAAGCCTGAATCTGTGTCTGACATTGTCTGTGACAGATGCCTTATTTCCAGGCTTGTTTATTAAAGATACATTATGGGAGATTTTTATAGAGAGTTGGCCATTCTTTCTATATCAGTTCAAAAATGAATGATGAAAGAAGAATATAATGGAAATTTCAGTCAAATTACTTTATTCTGAACATAGTTATCATCGTTGTAATATTTGACTAGAAATGGTAGTGAAATGTGCCTTCACCTTGGCCGATCGTTTGATTGACAGGCGTTAACTCCACCTACATATCTTGATTATCAAGTAAAGTTTTCAATGGCATGCGGAAACGCTCTACAGCGGCCTCGCTAAGTACACTCTATCATTTAGCCTCGATCTAACTGACGTATTCTCATCAGGTTGCGCCATATTTGAATTAATCAATAAGTGAAATCCTATTTAAATCCGAGCTGTAGCCGAGCCATCCGTGGGTCTACAGAGTTGATTTTGGGCTTGTTGTTTAAATAAAGATCTAATTTATAATTTCTATAACATCTGAAGCCTAAATTAAGACTTGCAATAATCAGATTTTGCTCTTGCATAATGTATGTTTAATTAATAATATTACCAACAAATAAGTTCCCATTAGATGTTTTATTTTTAACTATAGTTCTAAATAGAAATATCGGGAGAATGTCAATTGATTGCCACTGTTGACAGGTCAGGAAGCTACCGCTTTGATGTATCATTCATTACCGCATGAACTAATATAGACATACAGGTGCTGTCCGTGCTAATCGATCACTTTAGGGAATTATATCATAATCAACATTTAAAGTATGATAATCTCGACTTTATTAATTAATGAGACAGCAAATAATTAAGTTCATAGTAGATGGTGTGTATTTTTGATTTCGTAGGAAGCGTGACCCCATTATTACTTCAAAAACACAGCGTTTGTGTTTGATTCCCGCGGTAAAATGTGTAATGGCTTTATATCGACCACTATCAGTATCCCTATCGGCCAATATTATATTTCGCTGTCAATATCTGATATCGGTAAAACGGATAGGTGCCATATCGAACCATCTCTACTAGAGATATAAAGCCCGAAGTCCCTATTAAGTTCAGGTGAATATTTGTGATATTTATAGCTTCTAGGATCTTCCTGGTTTTCTTGTTCTGTTGATTAGCGGTGAGTATCTGGACCTCATTCCATTTAACGAAACAATTCAATAATATTTGCACGAAAGATATTTTTTATAGAAGAAAATGAAGAAATCCCATCACTTGAAATACAGCCCAGATGCACAGGATTTATATTATAAAAGGTAAGTTTCTATTAATAAGTTAGGTAATGTGAAGTTTCGTTTCTGATGTAGCCTTTGAAAAAAAAAGTCTTTCATAAATACAATTATGAACTGAGTATTGTTCAAAATGATATTGACCCTGTTTCATTTGAAAGTGGCCTTTTTATACACCCACATGTTCGTCCGTCCCTTCTGTCTGGCGTCCACAATTGCTTGTGGACACTCTAGAGGCTAAATTTACTATCCGATTGACTTTAAATTTATACAGTGTTTAAGGTCATGAGACGAAGAAACCTGTTGATTTTCAACGATTTCCGATAATTACTGCCAAAGTTATGGCCTTTGATGACTTTGAAATATCTTGTGGATGCTCTAGATGCTAAAGTTAATATCTGACTTTTTACACAGTGTTTAAGGTCATAGGACGAAGAAGTCTATTGATTTACAATGATTTCTGATAATTACTGCCAGAGTTATGGCCATTGATCACTTTTAAATAACTTGTGGACGCTCTAGACGCCAAAGTTAATATCCAATTGACTTTAAATTTATACGCAGTGTTTAAGGTCATGAGACGAAAAAGCCTATAGATTTTCAATGATTTCTGATAATTACTGCCAGAGTTATGGCCCTTGATCACTTTGGGATATCTTGTGAACGCTCTAGACGCAAAAGTTAATATTCAATTGACTTTTAATTTATATGCAGTGTTTAAGGTCATGAGACGAAAATGCCTATATATTTTCAATGATTTCTGATAATTACTGCCAGAGTTATGGCCCTTGATCACTTTGAAATATCTTGTGGCCTCTCTAGACGCTATAAGTTAATATCTGATTGATTTTAAATTTATACGCAGTGTTTAAGGTCATGACACGAAGAAGCCTATAGATTTTCAATGATTTCTGATAATTACTGCCAAAGTTATGGCCCTTGATCACTTTTGAAATATCTTGTGGCCACTCTAGACGCTAAATTTAACGTCCATTTTAATTATAGGGATTTTACATTATTTAAAGCAAATTGTATTGATTATTTATTCCATTTTGATGTTTTTATAAGCCATATTTACACGTTTTGTTAAAATTAATTACAATACAGTTAACGGATTTAATGATCATACGGTTAATGTACTACTGTGTAAAAGTTATTATACTATACTCTATTTAAAAAGACCCTTCGTGATATATTGGAAATAAAATGAAATGGGGTTTAACGTCCTACTGTTCTAATCCGACTGGGATAATGAAGACGGACATACGCCATGCAGTGTGCTATGATGGAAATTTTGTCCGGGCAGCGGCACTGTGGTCAACTCTTATATCGAATTCTAACTGCCAATATATACACGGGACCTCAGTTTTTCGTCCCACTGACGAGGGGAAACCGTGCAGAGATCGAACACGTGACCCCCAGACTAGCGAACCATCGTCTTACGCACTTAGATATGAAACAAAACGTGGCAGGTGAAAACGTACTATAATAAAAGGAGAAGATGATACGAAAAAACAATGAGTAAATAAAACGTGGTATAATAGAATTCAAGGCTGAGATAACCGAACCACGCTGGTGTTACTGCTTCTATACAAACGAAACGTGGTACGCGACTTTGGCTAATTTTTCAACTTACATATGTTGATTATTTAAAACATTTTGATGTTTTTGTAGGCCATATTTACACTTTATCTACGAACAATATAGGCAAAATAGTGTAATCAGGCAAAATAGTGTAATCAGCATATGGACTGTTCACCATATACTGTACCCTATTTAAAGAAAACACACGTGGTATATTGGAATATTGGGTATATGTGAAACATACCGTGGCAGGTAAAAAATAAAATATGAGGATGATACGAAAGTACCATGAGTTGATATGTAAAAAAAACGTGGTATAAAAGAATTCGAGATAACAGTAGCCTACCATTTGTTATCAGTAAAACGGTTTTGATCCTATTATTAACATGAAACTTTGACATGATTTTCGACTGGAAAAGGGCTGAAAACTGGTTGTTCGTAATGGCACAATCCTAACTCTGAAGTAGCTTAACCATTTCAACCCGCGAGTTTGTTGTGTGTGTGTTAAATAGCTTTATTTAATGTCCGATTGTTGTAATCCTTATATTGTTTTATAATAGTTTACCTATGAAACGTAGTACTGTTACATGTATTTCAGTCATTAAATGCTATACTACTATACAATTGTAATATCTGCCTATTGTTCTCTTGTACCACCCTAACACGATACTGTAATATGAGCCTATATATCTATTATACCATGTTTTACCTACTTCCGTTGAACTTTAATAGGAGCCACGGTAGCTAAGTGGAAGATGTTGGCTCACTAGCCCGAAGGTCGCGGGTTCGCTCCAGGTCTTGGTTGGCATTTTCCGACATGGTTTCCTCTTGTCAGTGATGTAGGGCCTGACTAGGATGGGGGGCCTGACAGCTGTCTAGTCGTTGGGATTCTGGGATAGGACGAGAAACCGAGGTCCCGTGTACACATTGGCATGCACGTTAAAGATCCCCTGGCAGTTGGAATTTGATATAAGAGTAGGCCGTAGCGCCGCTGTCTGGGCACAATTTCCCTCATTGCACTTGACGTATGCCCGTATCATTGGCCCAGCCGGAGCAGAACAGTAGGACATTAAACCCCATTTCATTTCATTGTATTTTAATAGAAATCGTGTATTCAATTATGCATTATACCACGTTTTACCTATGAAACGCAGAACTGTTTAACAAACATATTATGTTCTATTAAAGGGCCAATCCCGATAATATTTCGGAGAATAAAACTGATACTTTTGTGTTAAAATCCTCTACCTTACGTTTTAAAACAACTTAAACCCGTCAGTCTTAATCTGGAAGTGGGGACCGGTGCCCCAAGCTGTATTCTGCGGTGTCTGGATAAAACCAAACTTTTATTTTATAATAATAATGTGTAGGTGAAATTTACCTTTCGTTATCATGTACAGCACGTGGGTCATTCACTGTATAAACCTCTAAAGGAACGGGAATCGATTATCAGGTCACCCAACGAAAGAATTGACCCAAAATCTTAAAAGGGTTACGTGTCCGGATAAGCAGTTTTGACGTTCACGTCCAAATGCCTCAATATTTCGAGCTGAAATTTTGAGACAGGGTAAATACACCATTCCTTTCTATTTTGGCGCTTAAATTTCATATGTACTCGGACTTTTATTTTTGAGACTCTGTTCAAATCGGGATAGTCCCTTTAAAATACCAGTGGAACTCCATCTTTTGATGTCGGCACATCATTGTTTGAAATAAGGACGCGGGGAACATGCCAAGCGTACATGAAACGTGGTACTGTTATCTCAGCCATATAAGCTGTATTATTCGCCTGTATCACACCGTTATCTCAGCCATATAAGCTGTATTATTCGCCTGTATCACGTCATTGATATATGTTCTATTATACCATGTTTTACCTATCAAATGCACTACTGACACTACTGTATTAACAAATTATGTGTAGTTAATAGTCATAGGCGAGACATTATGTTATATATTGATATTGCACGAGTGCGCTAGCTTGAGGGCTATATCTATTTATAATGCACTGTCTTGCACAAAACCATTAATCAACTTAAAATACAGACACTACCCAGCACGTGCATTTCTATAAAATACGTCACACAGGTCCAATATTTCAACTAGTATAGATAATGTACGTTTGACACATTGCTCGTACTATCATTTTATATAATGGTTGATGTCACATCTCTATTTTAAATTGATATAACACCTACGCTGACACCTTGGTGCAATATCGATACTGAACTCTTAAATGACCAAGAGGTTAGATGTCATAACGTCATAAAAACCCACGTCATAATCGTCAATAGTGTTAAAATATACATACATTTTAAAGTCATAATATTATTAAAAAAAACAACTGTAGATAGACCCTACATGTAAATGGATGAAATAATCTAACTTTAATGTTATTTTCATAAATATGAATTTTATACCAAAAATTAATTTAGACATTTCATGCACAATTTATGTATATAAAATGGTTAGTTCTATTTTTTTGTCTGGCTCTTGTGAACTAAAAATAATTCATCATGAATCTCTTTTAATGTAAGCTATTTAAGTAGTTCGTTGATTAAGCCTAATTGCTTCTATCACTTATCAGTAGACCTACTAGCCTATCACGTTCTAACGCAAAACTATAAATTTCTACACCACCGATAAAATCTGAATCACTGTCATTCAAAAAGGATGGTAATTATAGTTTTTATACGCCCACATTGAAATGTGGTCGTATATTGTCGTCGCCCCCGTCCGTCCGTCCGTCGGTCCGTCCGTCCGTCGGAAATCGCTGAAAATCAATAGACTTCTTCGTCTCATGACCTTAAACACTGCGTATAAATTTCAGCAATTTCCGTTTATTACTTTCAGAGTTATTGCCCTTGTTTCACTTTGTTCAACCTTGTTAATGCTTGATGAAAATTATCATCCGATATGTATGAAATTTATATGCTTCATTTAAATTTGTGAAACGAAAAAGCCTGTCAAATTTCAATAATTTCTGTAGATTACTCCCAGAGTTGAGACCCTTGTTTCAATTTGTAGAACCTTGTGAACCCTCAAACGGCAAAAATTATAATCTGATCTGTATGGAACTGTCTTGTAAAGGCCCCCAATTACCTACAAAGGGATAAATATGCGACAACCCTTCTCGACTGCCCGGACGATTTAGCCGCTGTGGGCGTATGTTTCGTTGCCTGGCAACCTATCTTAACTACTGTCTGAACCTTCCTATTTTATAAACGGATTTCTTCGATTATGAACAAACTACTTAACTTTGGTTATTATAAACTCACCTGTGTGTTTGAAAATGAGTAAATAAAACGTGGTATAATAGAATTCAAGGCTGAGATAACCGAACCACGCTGGTGTTACTGCTTCTATACAAACGAAACGTGCTACGCGACTTTGGCTAATTTTTCAACTTACATATGTTGATTATTTAAAACATTTTGATGTTT